GGAAGGGAGAGCGGGAGGGAGATAGAAATATCAATGATGAGAGAGAATCATTGGTCAGCTGCCTCCTGCACTCCCCCTACTGGGGATCAAGCCTACAACCCGGGCATGTGCCCTTGACCGGAATCGAAGCTGAGTCCCTTCAGTCTGCAGGCTGACACTCTATCCGCTGAGCCGAACCAGCTAGGGCTCTGTTAAATATTTTCTAAGCCTCCTAGCTTCTGTTTTCAAACACACCTTCTTGTGGTATTGGAGAAGAGAGAGGGGTTTGTACTGTTACTATAGAAATAGTAACAACTACATGTCACGAGTATTTTACAGCATTTTACTTTTATTTTCAGGTCCATGGTTCAAAATCCGACAAAATGGACATATATGGTGGCCTCCGGCAGATGGTGAAAGAAGGAGGGATCCGCTCCCTTTGGAGAGGAAACGGCACAAATGTTCTTAAAATTGCCCCGGAGACGGCTCTCAAGTTCTCAGCATATGAACAGGTAAGTGTCATCACTGTGTTGTCAGTGACAGTATAACTCTGGGTATTGCCCACAAAAACTGTTTCTAGATTGTTAATATTTGTTTCAACAGCTTTATTTGTGCTGGTGAAAATAAACCCACCTTTGAAAAAGAAAAACTATGGGGTCACTATTCAAAAACACTATTGTGAACACTTAACCCTATATTTTCTGTGCATCTGAGAAAGAATGTTATTATTCTGTTTGAGCAAAGGAGCAGCTAGTTTCCCTCTGGGCAACATCTGTGCCCTGCAGAAATCTAACTTGAAAACTGCTGTCCAGCCAACGGAATGCATTAGCATTTAAGCCTTGCTTTCCTGCTAAGTATTGTTAATGCAGTGTTTGCATTTTGAAAGACATAATCACATGGTCAGTTTATTGCCTTCTAGAAGCGGATTTGTGTTTGGTGTTGTCTTATTCAGCCTGGGCTGCTGTAACGAAATCCATATAGTGGGTGGGTCAGACAACAGACATTTATTTATGGCAGTGATGGAGCGGGGACTCCAAGGGCAACGTGCTGACCAATTTGGGTCCTGGTGAAGGCGCTCTTCCTGGCTTGCAGATGACGATCCTCTTGCCATGTGCTCACATGGCCTTTCCTCAGTGCATGCATGTGGGGGGGGGGGGGGGCCCTATAATTCCATGAAGAACATAGAACATTCTTAAACTTGGGTCTTCTTGAAGAGAGAGAGAGAGAGAGAGAGAGAAGAAGAAGGAGAAGGAGAAGGAGAAGAAAAGGGGGAGGAAAGAAAGAAAGAAAAAAAGAAAGAAAGAAAGAAAGAAAGAAAGGAAAAGAAAAGAAACTCTTTGATGTCTCTTCTTAGAAGGACACTAATCTTTCGATGAGGGCCCCACCCTCATGACGTCATCTAACTCTAATGACCTCCCAAAGGCCCCGTTTCCAAATACCATCCCATTGGGGTTACGTTGCATTTGTGGGGAGGGACACACAATTCTGTCTATAGCAGGTACTAATGTGCACTTACCATTGATTCACACAGTACAAGAAGATGCTTACTTGGGAAGGACAAAAATTAGGGACCTTTGAGAGATTTGTTTCTGGTTCCATGGCCGGAGCAACTGCACAGACGTTTATTTATCCTATGGAGGTACGTGCCATTGTGAAGTCTGCCGGTGTTAACGGTTTTCATATTCACGATCCGTGGCTGTGTAGCAAGTATCCCCCAGATTTAACAGTTTCAAACAACAAGCATTTCTCACTTCCCAGCTTCTGTGGCTCAGGAATCTGGGAGGAGCTGGGGGAGGCGCCTGTGGCCCAGGGTTCCTTACAGGCTGCAGTCAGGGTGTTGGGGATGGATCTGTTCCAGACTCTCCTGGCTGCTGGAGACACGGGATCCTTATCCCCTCGGCCTCCACAGGCTGCTTGAGCATCCGCAACACGTGGCAGCTGTTTTCCCCAAATCAGTGATCTCGGGGGTGGCCGAGCCCCCAAGAAGGAAAGTGTGTTCTTTGGTCACTTTGTAAACTGTTGGCCACACAGACGCCCTGGTGGAGTGTGGGAGGGGACCAGCAGGTGTGAGTATCAGGAAGCTGGCCTGGGGGCCGCCTGGAGGCGCGCTGTCACGGTGCTGGTATGAATGAGAACTGTTCTCTCCAAAGAGTTTCACGGTGGTGGAGTTCACACGAAAAACCACATTTTGTTTATTCTTTGCAACCAGGTTCTGAAAACCAGGCTGGCCGTGGGCAGAACCGGGCAGTACTCCGGCCTGTTCGATTGTGCCAAGAAGATTTTGAAACACGAAGGCATGGGAGCTTTCTTCAAAGGTTATACTCCCAATATACTAGGCATCATACCTTACGCAGGCATAGACCTTGCTGTGTATGAGGTGAGTATGTAGCAATCTTTTGAATCTGAAAGTCCTTACTGTTTGAATTTGACTTTGTATGGAGAAGTACACGTATACCAGGGAACAGTTTGTGACCCAAAAGTACATTCAAGGGTGTTAATTTACATATCCATATCTATATCTATATCTCTATCTATCTATCTATCTATCTATCTATCTATCTATCTATATTTAGAGAAAGAGAGAGGAAGGGAGAGGGAGAGAGAGATAGAAATATCAATGATGAGAGAGAATCACTGATCAGCTGCCATCTGCATGCCCCCTACTGGGGATTGATCCCACAACCGGGCCTGTGCCCTGACCGGGAATCGAATTGTGGACCTTCTGGTCCATAGGTTGATGCTCAACCACTGAGCCACACTGGCTGGGCCTCATTTATCGTATCAGAAGGATAACTGCCTCAGAGCTTTGCAAAAGGGTTGCATGTGTCAGGTACAACATTAGGGGTCGTCGGGAGTATTATTTTGATCAGCACTCACTGTAGGCAGTGTTCTTCAGGTCCCGGAGTTGGTGCGTTTGACCTTCACGGTTACTTAGAGACCTCCCGGGCCTGGGTCTGAATCCTCAGCGGCTCCGTTTACTCTACTGCATGTACATCATAGATTCTTACTGTCTCTTTGGAGATAGTTGGTAACAGGGTCTCTCTTACTCACAAAGGAAGAGAGGGTTACTACTATTGCATAGCTCCTTCCCCAGACACTCTTACCTATAAATCTTTTACACCAAAATCATTTACATAATAAAGTTGTAAAAATATTACCATTATAGAGCTGTGTTTCTCTCAAGCTATGTTGGTAATCACTGACCACCAGGGGGCAGCTCCTGTGTTGAGCGTCTGTCCTCTGGTGGTCAGTGCGCATCATAGCCACCGGTTGATCCCAGTCTTTCTGCTGTTAGGGTCAGTTTGCATATTAACCTTTTACTATATAGGATAGAGACCTGGTGCACGGGTGGGTGCCGGCCGGTTTGCCCTAAAGGGTGTCCCAGATCTGGGTGGGGGTCCTGCTGGGGGGCCTGGCCAGCCTGGGGAAGGGG